CCTCCCCTCCCCTCCCCTCCCATCACTATTCTCTACCCATTCTACTGTGACACTTATGAATTACCTAGGATATTGCTAAGTCACTCAGGTTGGCTTTGAACTTGCGATCCAGTAAACTATGTATTTTGATTCCACTTGGACCTGTACTCCCTTGCAAGGTGTTAAATGAAAAAATTTAGGTGGGAAACAGATTATACAATATATTCATATTCATGCTTTTGTATATACATAGAAAATCCTGAAATGATAGAAAAACTTGTAATAGTAGCTGCCTTTGGACAAGAAAACTGTGTATCTTGAGTTGCAAAGGGTTTTTGTTGTTGTTGTTTTGGTGTGTGTTGGCGGGGTGCCAGGGATTGAACTCAGGGGCACTTGACCTTTGAGCCACATCCCCAGCCCTATTTTGTATTTTATTTAGAGACAGGGTCTCTATTTAAGTTACTTAGCACCTTGCTTTTGCCTCAGCCTCCCAAGCCACTGGGATTACAGGTGTGCACCACTGCTTCCAGCCTAGAGTTGCAAGGTTTTAATTTTTTTTCTTTGTTCCTTTGTTAACTTCTTTTCCTTTCCTTTCCCCTTCCGTCCTCCTTATCCCAATTGTGTTTGTTTTTCAACTAAAGGGCAAAACTTCCCATGTGGTTCTGATGTGCAGCCAGGTTAAGAAACTAACTATACATCACACCATCACCATACCCTAGTCACATTAAAAGCCATACCTTGTCTCACATAGTTTAATGGCATTGATGATATTTTTTTGTGTGGTGTAGATCCTTATCTGAATTGGTTATGCCAATGTGTTATGGGTCTCAACTGCAAGGTTTAAGGAGGGGTGGCGCCTAAAACAGTTGTCTCTTTTTTGATGGTACAACCGAATCGAGGGGTGCTCTTCCAGGCTTCCTACCACCTAACTACATCCTAAGCCCTTTTTGGTTTTTATTTTGAGACAGGGTCTTGCTAAGTTACCCAGATTGACCTTGAACTTGCCATCCTCCTGCCTTAGTCCTTAGGATTTTAGTTGTGTGCCACGATGCTTGTCTCAGAACAATTGTCACACGAGAGATGGTTTCTGGTTACTGTGCTTGACCAGCCTGACCCTAGGGTACTGTAGACAAAAAAGGGCAGTCAATATCAGGGGGTGATAGGGCAAGAACACTATGGTTTGTAGTCAGACACATATTTATGTATGAACCTCAGCCTTGCCCTTTTGTTTCCTTATTTAATGGAAATGGGAAAGATA